ACCCAATGGACACATCAGGTGGGGGGGGATGACATTTCTCTCTCTCTCTCTTCCGAGACAGCTGCCGTTTCCTGGTCCGCCGAGTTCCAGCGCTTGTACGACACCATCCCTTGTGTCGAAGTCGAGACCCTGAAGGAGCACACCGATCAAGTCCTCCACCTCAGCTTCTCCCACAGCGGCTACCTGTTTGCTTCTTGTTCCAAAGACTCTACCGTCAAGGTAGAAAACGGTAGCGAGAACGGGCAATGTTTGGGGAGAGAAGGGAGGCAGGCGCCCCCAAGGGTTCATCCCTCGCTCATAGGTTTTGGTTTTTCAAAAACAGAGCGAACCAAACTGGGGAAAGCTAGAAGGTTTAGGGGGAAAGAATCTTGCTACCTTTCATACGCTGGTACATTGGGGGGGTGCTTCTTAGATTCAGGTATTCCAAGTCCCATTCGCCCCAGCCAGATGGAGAGAAGGGAGGCAGGCGCCCCCAAGGGCTCATCCCTCGCTCATAGGTTTTGTTTTTTCAAAAACAGAGCAAACCAAACTGGGGAAAGCTAGAAGGCTTAGGGGGAAAGAATCTTGCTACCTTTCACACACTGCTACATTGGGGGGTGGGGTGGGGGGTGCTTCTTAGATTCAGGTATTCAAAGTCCCATTCACCCCAGCCAGGCTGGTCCTCAGTGAGGAAGGATGGAAGTTGTCACCCAAAATCTAGAGAGCCAGAAGTTCCCTTGCCTCTCCTCAACAGCTTTTCTAAACACCCAAAGAATAGTAAGGAAGCCCCTGTCTGACGCTTGAGTCATTTGAAAGCCCTCCTCTCTCTCCATGCCTTGGGAAATCAGGATTTTTTTTCCCCAGATGCTTTGGCTCTTCCCTTTTTCTCTCCATCTTCCCGGCCTCTTGCAGATCTGGAACAACGACGTCCGGGTCTCTCTGCTGCACAGCGCCAGCATGAAGAAGTACAACTGGAGCTACACCCAGTTCTCCCAGTTCAACGCGGACGATTCCCTCCTCCTCGTTTCCGGGGTGTTCATGGGGCCCAGCACCTCCCTGTCCGGCGAGATCGCAGTCTTCAGCTTGGGTAAAGTGGTGCGACCGGCTGGGTGGGGCTCCTCTCTTGGAGGTGCCGGGCTTTCCCTCGGAGCCCGGGGGAGGGACGGGTCAGCCCAGGAGGTAGAGGTGAATGGGAGAATCTTCTTTCAGTCAGAGGGGGAGCCTGGGGACAGCACAGGCCTCTTTGCCTCCAGGAGGATCTGAAGTGACCAGACACGCCCAAGCAGCCCAGAGATGCGCCTAGCCCTGGATGGTGGATCTGGGCTGTTCTCCCAGAGAGCAGAATCCTCTCCCACTGAAAAAGCCGCTCAACTCCTTTCTGCCTCTCCCTCCTTGCTTCCAGAGGACTTCACGCTCCTCTCTCGGGTGCGTAACAAGCCCTACGACGTGTTCGGCTGCTGGCTGAACGAGACCAACCTGATCTCCGGCAACTTGCACCGCATCGGGTACCTCACCTCGTGCTCCGTGTTGTGGCTGAACAACGCCTTCCAGGTGAGCGGGGGGGCGGGCAGGGCGGAAGGCGTCCCCGGCGGTCACATCCCTGGAGTGGCGTTTCGGAGGCCTTTGCTTCCTCCGTCGTCCCTGCCTCTCCGCTCGCAGGGGATCGAGTCCGAGACCACGAATGTCGTGAAGCGGCTGTTCAAAATCCAGAACCTCAACGGCAGCACCATCCGGACGGTGATGGTGGCCGACTGCAGCCACCACGGCTCCCCTGATCTCCTGCCCAGCCACGAAGAGAGTGCGGAAGGTGGCGCCAGTGGCCTCCCCAAAGTCATCAGCCTCAGCAGCGACAGTGAGGAAGAAGAGGAAGAGGAGGAAGAGACCCGTGCAAAGGTAAACCCCCCCCCCAAATGCACCAGCTCACACTCCTGGTTCTCCCAGGGAGGGTCTGAGATGTGCCCGGCAGGAGGCAGTTCCTCCACCCTCTCTTAGGCTCTGGAGTATCCTGTGTACCATCACTGGAAGGTTTTTTTCCGCTGATGCCATCCATGCGTCAGTTGCTGCGGAAGGCGATGCTGAAGGTGCCTTTCTGTTCTGAGCAACAGCCCAGCCAGAAAGCAAGCTCAGAAACCAGTGCAAAGGACACTCCGGGACCCGGGAGCAAAGCCGTGGCTGAAAACAGGCTGGGCAGCTTCCTGACAAGAATCATGAAAGGCCACGTCCGGCCGGCGATGACCGAGCTGGAGATGGAAACGAAGGTGGCCCGGCTCCTGGCACAAAACAGAACGAAGCCGCCGGAGCCCAACCTGCTCTCCGCAGAGGGCGGCCAGAAGAAATACTTGATCTTCACCACCGGGTGCCTCACCTACACACCGCACCAGATCGGTAAGGGGCTTTGCCGGCGGTTTAAGTGAATCTTAAACATTTGGTAATTCTTAGGGGTTTGTGATCGGTGCTAGCCGAGCCAGAATCAAGAGCAGTCTAGCTCAGACCACCAGATTTTGGTAGGGCAGATAAGGGGAAGACCCTCACTTTCAAGATTAATTCTGAGGAACCTTGCAGGATCGGGCCGCCCACTGTGGGAAGCGGGATGCCAAGCTTTCTCTTCCGCTCTCTGACTGCTTGGGTCCACGTGAGACACAGCATCAGTGGGGCGAGAGCTCGCTCCCATTTTTCCTATCCCTGCTTCCAAACTCCTCTGTTCTTCTAGGGATCAAGCAGATCCTGCCTCACCAAATGACCACCGCCGGCCCAGTCCTCGGAGAGGAGAGACAGTCGGAGAAGTTCTTCGACTCCCTGGACCACATTATCGATATTCACGGACACATTATCGGCATGGGCCTCTCCCCGGATCACAGGTAAAGGGGGCTCTGGGAAAGAAAGGGTAGGAGAGGCGTGAGCTCACGGGCGGGAACTCCGAGCTGCTTCTTGCGGGCAGAAAGTCCCCAGGTTGGCGAGAATCAGGCATTAGGGGGCGGAAAAGAAGGCCACAAGTCCAGATGGCTCTTGGAGGCAAGAGGAGTCAGCTGTGGGTTCAATAGCTCCGTCTTCTCCCTTCCTGCGCCATGCGTTCAGACCCGGCGCCTTGCACTCGTGCTGCAGAAAGGGGTCATCCTGTCCTCCAAGGCATGTCCCGTAGTTACTGTAAACCCCCAAATCATCTCCAATCCCAGTGCAAGTTCGTTTGATTTTCAATGTTGAAAAGCAACATCGCTTCTCCCCCACCGCTGTGCCTTAGTAGTGGACCTCTAGCCATTGCTGATTTTGACGGGAGAGTATTGCAATCTTGGGGGGAGGGAGAGTATTGCTCCCTCCCATCCAGACCTCCCAAACTTGACCGCCCTGCGATGGGAAGGTGTCTTGAAGACCAAGCGCGTGATCCTTTCTGAGGCGTGTGCTCAGCTGTTCTGGATCCTCCCCTGAGCCATGCACGCCACCCGACCCCTTCTCCTTCCCCCACCTTAGGTACTTATATGTCAACAGCCGGGCCTGGCCCCAGGACTGTGTCATTTCCGACCCCCTGCAGCCGCCCCCCATTGCAGAAGAGATTGACCTCCACGTGCTCGACCTCAAGACCATGAAGGAAGCCAAACGGGCCCTGAGGGCGCACCGGGCCTACACCCCCAGCGACGAGTTCTTCTTCATCTTCTTGGACGTCAGCAGGGATTTTGTGGCCAGGTGAGCGCCCTCCCCTCTTGCCCGAACTGCCTAGTGAAGTTTCCTCCACCTCCAGACGCCAAACGCATTTAAAAATCCGTCTTGCAACCCAAAAGCCGGTGGGTGGGTTTTTTGGCTGGCCATCGATGTGCATTTCAGCGCGGCATTTCAGCGCCCTTCAGTGTGGTGGCCTGACCTACAACGCACCGGCCTGCTTCCCCGTGCTGGCAATCTCATTTGCTGTCTTTTGCCCCCCTGGTGCAGCGGAGCGGAGGATCACCACGGCTACATCTGGGACCGGCACTACGACATCTGCTTGGCCAAGCTCCGGCACGACGACGTGGTCAACTCGGTGGCCTTCAGCCCCACGGAGCAGGAACTCTTGCTGACGGCCAGCGACGACGGCACCGTCAAAGTGTGGCGGTCGCCCCGCGTCGTGCGGATCTTCCAGGCCCAGAAGCCTCACCTTCACAAGCCCCGTTTCTCCTTGGCCACCAAGAGGCTCTGAGCCGGGACAGGTTTGGCAAGGGCCAGCCAGGATTGCATCCAAGGACGCTGCTGCGTGGATGCTGGCTTGTTTTGCATGGATGTGAAGGGGACACGTCTTTCCTCCAGGGGGCAGCAGGCACCTTCCACTCAGCTGGAACGGTTGGTTATGCAGGGCCGGTAGAGGTGCCAACTTCCTCTCCGATAAGGCTCCTGTGCCTTCAAACAGCTGTAGAAAGGTGAGAAACAGCTGGTCTCTTTGGAAGGGCCGCTTGGGGGCCCCACAGGAGATATACACTCTCGGTCTGCACTCAGCTTCGCAGTGTGGCAACTCAGCATCACTCAACACTTTAAGAAGCTTCGCCTAAGGTTGCTTCCTCGTGGCGCAGACGGGTATTTTGAAATGCCGAGGGGGACCCGCTCCCTTAAGGGTGCAGCACCAAACCTGGAAGTCTTTGCGCCCTGCGGTGCCGCCACGACAGAGAGCAATGCAGAGGAGCAAGCCCCACACACCGTGGCAGCTCCTTCACCCGGCGTGGCCTCAATAAAGCTTCCTTAAGCACGTCTCTCTGGACGGAGCCTATCTCTTGACTAGCCTCTAATGGGGTGAAAGGCGGGCGGGGGGGAGGCAGAGGGTTGACCCTCCCCATTACCAGGGCTGAGGGCCAGACCCAGGGCGATTGCACTGGGCCAGGGGGAGCACACAGGGGAAGGTGGAGAAAGCACAACACCCACTTCTTGATGTATGGAGAGGTGCAGAGGGTTTTCCAGCTCTAGAGATGGGGGCAGGAGCTCCCAACTTAAAGACTGGGCAAGGTTCTCCTGCCCCTACTGGCCATGTTTGGCTAGCACACAGGGGAAGGTGGAGAAAGCACAAGACCCACTTCTTGATGTACGGAGAGGTGCAGAGGGTTTTCCAGCCCTAGAGATGGGGGCAGGAACTCCTGACTAAGGACTGGGCAAGCTTCTCCTGCCCCTACTGGCCATGTTTGGCAGCTGAGAATTGAAGCAAGCGGCCAGGCCCCCCGTCCTTCCCAAACACGAGCGAGACCAGTTCTGTCACACCTCTTTATTATTAGCTGCCTCAAAGCTGGCACCTCCAACAGCAAAGAGCACTTTCCATTTTTCAGCATCACAACCAAAATCAGCTCTTGGAGGGGGTGGATGTGTGGCTTCTTCTGCCCACTGAACCCCAAGACCTGCCGTGCAACCCACCGGTTCTGACCATGATCATCACAGCCCCCCCCTTTAGACTCAGCTGGGGGGGGTAAGGCTGCACCTCTGCCTTGTCTAGCTAAACCTATGAAATAGTCTGAGAAAAGCAAAGGGGTACATCACCCCCAGCATTGTATCCTCTCCCATATTTGGGGACCGGGTGCTGCCATGAAGCTGCCAAGCCGGGCACAGCCTAGCCCTCCTTCCCTGGTTGACCTTTCGGGCAGAGGGGAAATGTCTCCCCCATTGTGGAGGGTCCCCACCCTTGCTTTGGCCGAGGCTTATCCCTTGACCGGTCCTCCGCATCGAGGCTCCTCCAAGGCACTGCCTACATATGAAAAAGGGCGGCTCAGCCCAGAATTCTGAATTTTTTTTGAGATGATGGCCAGAGAGGAACTCCCTGGGACAACACTGGTCAGGGAGGCTCCCTCCAGCCATTCCTGAGAGGTCGGCTGCCTTTCCACAAAACGGGACCCAGAAAATGCTCCACGCAGAAACGGGGCTTTCCTCCCGAGACAGAGGCCCGACACACCCACTTCCCCCTTCGGACGGCCACCTTCGCCTGCACAGAGGAAACTGGCAGAAAGAGTTGGCTGTTTTAGGAGGGGAGGGTGCCACCAGAGTTATCGCCTAAAAGGAAAAGGGCTACAGGTGACCGGATTTTGGAAGACAGGATGCTTTGTCAGAGTTTGGGAAAGTGCCTTTAAAAAAAAAGACCACTCTCACCCCCCACTTCCAATCTCAGTGCCTCCGTCCTCCCCTCCAGGCAAGCTTTCTATAATTTCGTACCTAAGAGCAGGAGTGGGTCGGCAGAAGCAAAACACTCACTTATGCCGGGCCGAGGGAGGAAAAAAAACCTGCAACCGTCTGTCCGCCAGGCCGCCGGGCTCTCCCTCCGCAACTGGGCAAAGCCTATCTCGTATTGCCTCCCGGCCCCCCGTCCTCCCCGAGGCAAGAGGGAAACGAACCATGCGCCAGCTCTGCCCCACTGCTACGGGAGGGACGGATTGTGGAAAGGATGAGTCCTCGTGGCACATGGGACACAGAACCAGGGTCCGTCTCACCAGCTGGGAAAAATCCACTTTTCCCCATACGGCCAAACAAAATTATTTGACTGATGTAAGGGAGGGAGGGGAAGATGGGGCAGGGGAGAAATCTCAAAAAAACCACCTCTGGCTTCCTGGCCTACCTGCTAAGACCCAAGTGCGGTGCCTTTAGGATTACATAACACTTTCCCCCATACGGCCAAACAAAATTATTTGACTGATGGAAGGGAGGGAGGGGAGAAATCTCAAAAAAACACGTCTGGCTTCCTGGCCTACCTGCTAAGATCCAAGTGCGTTGCCTTTTGGATTACATAACACAACACAGTTGTCCAAGGTCAAAATGCCCTCTGGCCAGATAACACTGTGATCTGTAATAATCAGAAATGCCCGAGTCTACGGCCAAACAAAATTATTTGACTGATGGAAGGGAGGGAGGGGAGAAATCTCAAAAAAACACGTCTGGCTTCCTGGCCTACCTGCTAAGATCCAAGTGCGTTGCCTTTTGGATTACATAACACAACACAGTTGTCCAAGGTCAAAATGCCCTCTGGCCAGATAACACTGTGATCTGTAATAATCAGAAATGCCCGAGTCTGACTTTGTACAGAAGGGGGGAAAAACAACAGCACACACAATAATTTTGCTTGCCACAGAAGGTACAAAACAGCACCAGAGATGCGGGGCCATCTTGGGAGGGCGAGAACAGGAGGCAACCTGCCTTCCCCCGCCCCCTTGCAAAAGAACTCGCGTCCAGTCACCCCTGCAAAATGTAGAGCCAGACAAGGGGCTTTGAGGCCACGGTGGGATGCAGAGGTGGAGGGGGGGCTGCCGCCTGCCCCACGGGGTCAGATTCACTCTCGCACGTCTCCACAACATGGGGAAGGCCCCCTCTAACAGGGCCAGATTCTGATCTCTGTGAGTGCCCTACGTTTTGACCCACGGCATGGGGCAAAACAATCCCTCTTCGCTGGAGGAAATCCCAGGTCGGGGAGGGACGCTGCTGGGGTGCAAAACCCGGATCCCTTGAGGGGTCCCCAGAAGGGAACAGCACCCAGTCGTTTTTTCCTGGAGAGCCAACAAGCCACCCAGATCCACTCTGGAGAGCCGCAACACACCCCAGGGATCAAGGCAGGGGTAGCTGTGACCCACCCACCTTCTCCACTCTAGGATCGGTGCAGGCACTAAAGGCAGCTGAAACCCCACTGTCAGATCCTGCCCTTCCCAATTTCCCTCTGGGTTCCAAAACTCCCCGCCTGCCAGAGGCTCAACCCCTCAGCCGGCTGGCTGTCCCTTTCCCAGGCTTCTCTTTGGGGGGGCCGGGGGCTCCCCCTGGTCCGAGCGCAACCCAGCCCGCATCAGAGCGTCGCGGAAGGCAAGCAGAACGAAGGAAAGACGAGAGCGAGGTCCTGTTTAGTTTGAAACAACGTTCGGCCTCCCAACGGCCGTCCCGCCCCTCCTTTGGGGACAGCCTGGAGGGCGCCACAGTCTGCATCAGCCAAACCAAATCCCCGCCCCACCCCAAACACTTCCCCCCCACGAATGTGACCGGGGTTTCCAAAGGCTCAGAAAAAAGTGTCCACCGAGAGAGCCCCTTTCCTCACACCACAGAAGAGGTCCTTTCTTCCAGGGTGGCACGCCTTGCCCCCTCCTCCTTCCCTGCAGCGTCCCGTCCCCCCGGGGAGGAGGGGCACGCAGAGAACCTGTCGCCCCCCCCCTCCGCCACACTGCCAAGAGGCCAGGGGTGCTGCTCTGCGCTCCGACATCCAGCCCAGACAAGGAAGGCTTAAAGGCCCGTGAGGTCGACAATGGCTTTAATGAAGATGGTGTCGTCCTGCACGTAGGAGTTCTTGGACTCCATCTTGGCAATGGGGCAGAACAGCGGGCAGCCGCTGGCGATGTTCATGTCGCCGACCGGCCGCTGGAAGGACGAGGAGGTGACGTCCGGCCGGAAGGCGTCGATGACGTGCTCCCGGTTGTTTTGGTCTAGCAACATCAGCGTGACCTGGAGGAGGAGGAGGAGGACGGGAGAAGAAGACAGGAACACAAATGAAAGGCCCAGAAAGGGACAAGACCCTTGGGGGGCCGGGGGGGGGTTGCACACACACACAGAGCTTCCCGGCATACACCTACATACAATTCCCCGTCACGTAACATGCTTGCCCCACCTTCTGGTTGAACGGCCACCGCAGGAGGGCATCGTTGGGTCCTCTCATCACCACGAAGAAGAGGGAGAGGTGGGTGCCGCGCCCAGTGCCGTCCCCATTGAGGTAGATCCGGAGGCACATCTTGTAGCCGTATTTGCTGGTGTAGAAGGCTGCGGGGGGGGGGAGCCAGAAACGCAGCATCACAACGGGGAGGAAAAGAAGAAAAACCAGCCTCCAGAGGGAACGCCTCTGGCTTCGGCATTTCTCTCCTAGGGAGCGGCCCCTGCCGGACCGACACCAGGCCGGGGCTGGTTGTGTGGCCCCCTCCCCCCCAGCACTGACAAACTGAGCACTTGGTGGCCCCAGAAAGCCCCCCCTCCATCTTCAGTTGGGCTCTCTCCCCCCCCCGGCTCTCTTGCAGCCGCTCGTGGCCCACCTCCTGCTCCACTCCAGAGACCTCTTACAAGCTGGAGTGCCGGGCAATGGCTGCGGGACCCGGGTTAGCCCTAGAAATGGAGCACAGACCCCCCCCTCCTGCCTCCCAGCACCACACGCACACCCCCAGGGGACGGTCTCCCACCGAAGTGCAAAGGCCATTTGTGGAAGACTACCTGGGGAGAAGATGGCAGGCGAGCGGCCGGCAATGGCCTCTTGGCGCTTCCGGGCAAAGTCCATGATCTTCCAGATGAAGACTCCGTCGTAAGAGGCGGCCTCCATCTCCTGGATCGTGTGCTCCATCTCGGCAAGGGCCAGGTCCTTCAGCGCAATGCTCCTTTCTAGCTGCCGGACCTGGGCCGTGCCAAGGGGGGGGGGAAGAAAAGACCACAACCCAATTCACCACTGGCTCTCTCAAGGCACGCCCCCACCGAGCATCCCCCACCCCTCCAACCCCACCTGGATGGCATGGCTGGCTTGAAAAACAGGGCATTCCAGAAATCACGCACCCAAGCTGACTCCACACACACACACCCGGTTCCACCATCATCTTAGCTCCTAAATCTGCACCAGGAAATTCCTGCACCAGGAAACGGTTTGGGTTCTGTGACCACCGCCATGCCATACCTGCAGGACGGGAAATGCTATGCAGCAGAGTAAACCCCCCCAAAAAAACACAGCCCCCCCCCGATGCTCACCTTACTGCTGAGGGCCTCTATCTTCTCCTGATCCAGCTGATGCTGGCGGCTGTAGGCCTCAGCTGTGAGAGAGACCCTCTCCACCTCCCGGTTCAGCACGCAGACAATGTTCTCGAAAGTGAGGGTCTTCCTCTCCAGGGCTTCGCACCTTCCCAAGAGTTCGAGGGAATCCGAAGACTCCAAGCCCGAGAGCAAGGGGTCACCCCCCAGCAAAGCCGGGCCGGCGGACTCCAGGGACGGGAGGCCCGGCAGGGGCGGCAGCTTGTGGGTCTCGGAGCCCAGGCTGAGCACAAAACTCAGCAGCATGTAGAGGTGCTCCGCCAGGCACGCGCTCTCGTGTTCAGGGAGCTTCTCATTTTCCGCCTGCGGAGAAAGGAAAAAAATGGATGTCGTCACTCTTTCCAGCACGGAGGGGGACAAGCCGGCTCTGTTCAACTGAGGGGGGGGAGGCAGGAGGGGCTTACGTTTCATTCTTTGAAATGATGGGAGGGTGTAGAACAAAGGCGCCCCCGTCAGATCAAGCAGAAAGGCTCATGGCAGAGCCATCTGCCCCGCCAGACTCCTGCCCATCCTCGGTCTCTCTCTCTGGAGCACCGGTTCCGACAGGGACCTCCTTACCCACCAACCACCCCTCTTTGGGACACAGACCTTTGCGAGGAAAACAAAAAGACACACACACACACACGCCCCGCACTTACCACCTCAGCGCAGCCGACCGGCTGGAACCTGCAGGGCGCTTTACATTTGCTGCAGCTTTTGACGTGGTCCGGGAACTGCGAAGGAGCCAAGAAACGGCCTCGTTATCAAAACACAGACGCTTGCTATTTGTGTGCATTGCGAAGATGACTATTATTTCGATTTTGTGCCCTGCTTTTCTCCATAAGGGCTCAGAGCAGTGAACTAATGTAACCCGTGGGGGCAAAACAAAGTTTAAATCCCTATTTTTTTCCCCCCTGCATATTCTGTATGTCAGAAATTGCCAATGCCTGAAGAAAGACCATCGGAGCGATGAACCACACAGGAGAGGACGGTTTGCCCTTCCTGGGGCACCGAGGAAGGTTCCTTCCGATCCGCCTGCCACGAACCCTTACCTTTTCTCTCGGGATCTTCTTCCTCCCACAGCCCTCGCAGGTGAGGGGGAATTTGGGGCACACCGCGTCATGGGCCTGCCAAAAGAGAACACAGCCAAAAAAGAACAAATCTTATGGATCTTCCCAGTCCAGCGGCTTTTATGCTGCCGCAAATGTTTGTGGACAGCCACCCACTTCCGTCAGCACCAAGGAGGAAGGGATCCGCTCACAAAGCAAACACCCCTGAGTCTCCACAGAGTTCAGGTCCTGCCCTAGAGCCCACCCTCTCTCATTTTGCTCAACAGGAATAGAGGCTGTACGACATTCGGAGCCATCAGACCGTGCTAAATGTGAACTATGGATGCTGGATGTTTTACTAGGCACATTCCCCACTCTGTGACACTGACAGATTGCTAAGCTATAAAGGGCAGGAGGCAAGCTTTCAGATCACACAGGAGCTTTCCGTACACACTGGATGCTAAGAGTCCTCATGATTCTGCCCCGGGGGTTTGCCTCTCCTAGATCTACCCTGGCGTAGCCCCATAGAAGCCCGGCGCTCTTTCTGTCACAGACCTGCGGTTTTTCTGTTAAAGATCAACATAGAAGTTTTTAAAAAATAAAACATCCAAGCTAGCTTCTCCATTTGTCTGTACACGGTGGCTACTGGAGATCAGGCAGAGAAAGAGGACCGCATCAGGTGTAGGTTGAGCCTCCCACCTCCAAAATACTCAATACTTCACCACACAGGAAAACCCAGTTGGCCCGCAGGATCCAAGCTGATAAAACAAGCCCGGCTCGACTCCATTGGGTTTAATGACATTGACTAGCTTCAGCATTCACAAAGTGAAAGCCTAGGGAATTACAAATCAGACAATAGGTTCTGGCGTTATATAATCCATAATATTTTTTTAAAAAATCTCACATTTTAAAAACAAGAAGAAGAGGAAGGAACAAAGAGCCACCAGCCTCCACTTTCCCACCCTCCACTTTTCCATCCTGCCCACTTGGCGTGGGGAATCAGCTGCTTTGTGCTCCAGTAAAAAGCAAGCTCGAACATGGCAGATAGTAGAAGCAGAGGTGCAGTGGAACCACTATTCGCTTATGCCCACGGGGAAAGTAACTTAATCTGGGACCACAACGGAGGGCATCCCTGGCACCTGGCGTTCACCTGGCAGCTGATTATCCCCACGAATCCTCTTGTCTGGGACAGAGAAACAAGATTCCCTCCCTCCCTCCTACCTAGAACAGATACATCTAAACTAGCTTAAAATACAGCAGTGAAACAGTGACTGAATACAGTACTTTATATGCCTGGAAGAATAAAGAAGATTCGACATAGCGCCCCAAAAAGCTAATACGGGGTGGTGGTGGTAAGCCTCTCGGTTTGGGGGAAAAGCTTGAGTTAGTACAGTAGTTTCTATGGACGGAAAAGAGCAGATACGGATTAAATGGTTTTCAATGCATTCCTATGGGAAATGCATAAAGAAGATTCGACATAGCGCCCCAAAAGGTTAATTGGGGGGGGCAGGTAAGTCTCTTGGTTTTGGGGAAAAGCTTGAGTTAGTACTCTAGAAGAACTGGGCTGGAAAGGTATGGGGGGCACTGCTGGCCACTCCAGATTCAGGCACCTCCAGCTAGCCTGCGTGCCACCTGGAGAAATCAGCTCTAGCTGTGGACACTGTGATTCCTTGCCGCCTCTATCCGAGAGAGAAGGTGAAGCCACGGAATGTTCACAAACACTCCCCGGAGGATCACGGCAGGCTGAGGGCCTGTGGGCTGTTGCTTCCTTGGGGATTATCGCATATTGATCGATAGCCAGAGTTTGGCAAACGGGCTTTCTAGGATGGCAAAATCCCGGCTCCCCCTCCCCAAGCCCACACGGCCCCAGACCAAGCGGGGAATTCTTGGGGGGGGTGTCCCGTCCAGAGGGGGAAAGAGAGTGATCCTTTTTTTTTCCAAACTCTGGTGACCCCCCCCACCTGCTGGGTTTGAGGGCAGGGCGAGGGAGAGGAGGGGAGCGGGCGTCCGTCCGTACCTTAATGTCGGGAAAGTAGAAAAGGAGCTTGCAGTATTTGCAGCTGAGGCTTCTCTCGGGGCACTCCCGCTCGGCATGGTGCTCCTTTTCGCTCAGGCGGACCATGCCCCGGCAGGCCGGGCAGGCCACCAGCATGAACGGGCAGTTCCCCTCGTGGCAGCTCTGTGGCAAAACGAGCAGCACAGCTTTCAGTACAGCCCGGCAAAAGGCAACGGGAAGCACACGGCAGGCGGGTCCCAACGCCAAGCCCACACGGCCCCAGACCAAGCGGGAGATTCTTGGGGGAGGGGTCCCGTCCAGAGGGGGAAAGAGAGTGATCCTTTTTTTTTCCAAACTCTGGTGACCCCCCCCACCTGCTGGGTTTGAGGGCAGGGCGAGGGAGAGGAGGGGAGCGGGCGTCCGTCCGTACCTTAATGTCGGGAAAGTAGAAAAGGAGCTTGCAGTATTTGCAGCTGAGGCTTCTCTCGGGGCACTCCCGCTCGGCATGGTGCTCCTTTTCGCTCAGGCGGACCATGCCCCGGCAGGCCGGGCAGGCCACCAGCATGAACGGGCAGTTCCCCTCGTGGCAGCTCTGTGGCAAAACGAGCAGCACAGCTTTCAGTACAGCCTGGCAAAAGGCAACGGGAAGCGCACGGCAGGCGGGTCCCAACGAGAGGGCCGGCTGGCTCTCTCTCTCTCTCGCCCTCTGGCCCGGGAGAGTCGCCTGGGGCGACCAGGCACAGCAGCCATGACGTGAAAGGTAAAAATATATACATATATATATCCCAACAGCCCGGCTCCTCCCCATCGCTACCTAACGGTTGGCAAGCAAGGGGGGGCAGGTCTGGTGGGGGGGGAGAAAGAAAGGCTGCAAGCCTCCGCAGAGAGACAGGTACAAGGAAAGTAGGGACGGGGGAAAGACACAGGACCCTTTTCTTAGGGAGCTGGTTCAGGATGCGACCGCCAGGTACCCCAAAGGGGTTCCAGATATAGGGCTGGCACGCCGGTGGGCCCACAGTGATGGGTTTGGCTCCCTGGGAAGAAAACACACACCCCCAGCCCGTTCCATCCTATCTGGGGCTTTGCCCCTGTTTACAAGTTTTCACGCTTGCTCGCTTGCTGCTTGCTACTGGACTCACTGCCCAGTGAGCCTCTCGGTCCCTCAAAGCCATGGGAATGTGGACAGGCTGGCCACGGCTACGGAGGGCTCGAGGCAGGAGTCCTTGCCCAGCCCTGCCTGGAGAGCTGTGGCCTTCCCGTGGGGCCTCCCATCCAAACGGGGGAGAGCGTGTCCCCCCACTGCAACCTGCAGTTGGCAAAGGATGACCAAGACGCCTCTTTCTAAGACCCGGGCGGAGAGATGTGCGCTGGGGGCGCCTCGGCTGGGGCTTTCCAACCTCCCACGGGCTTCTTTGAAACTCGCCCCAGCCTCCCTCCTTCCACCTGCTTCAGCTGCCAAGGCAGATACCGAGGGCCGCCTCTCCCTGTGAGCTAAAAACCCATTCATTAAAAACACATACGCACCACCCTGCCCTATTCCAGATGGGGTCGGGCTGCCCTGCCCGTCAGGCCCTCAGCCCAAAGGGAGGCAAAATGCTCAGTGCACACCCTGCCCTATTCCAGATGGGGTCGGGCGGCCCTTCCCGTCAGGCCCAAAGGGAGGCTAAATGCTCAGTGCGTCTCACCGCTTTGCCCGACCCTGATCCATAGACTGATGCCTATGGCGAGGTCTGTTTCTTGGGCATCGGGTTCAGATTCTGCACCACTCCCCCCACGTCACGGCTACGTATTTGCTCCTAAGCGCCTGAAACACACACACCCCTTCCTTAGGATGCCTTTGGATGAAAATTAGCAACCTCTCAACATCCCTCCCCTTTGCCTGCACAACAGCCCTGCAAGGCAGACCACTCTTATCTAGCTTACTCCTCAGTAGCTAAAGAGGAAACCTACTTTTTTTCTGGATTTGTAAAACACATTCCAACCCCATCCAAAGGTTTGGGGGCCGGGAGGCAGCAAAACAACCTTACTTCTTGAGCTGGTGATTCCTTTCGCAACCTGGGGGGGTGGACTAGATGGTCTCAGACCCTCCCTTTCCACTCCACTCTCTCACAACCCTGGGCTTTTTTAAAGAAGACACTTTCCAGAACTGAAAGAAGGGGAGTCGGAAAGGCTCTCCCCCCCCCCGTGCTTTCCTTTTTCAGAGAGGAACCTTGCTCCGTCTCTTGCTAAAGAGAAAGCAAAACTGGAGGCAAGGATGAAGGAAGCCAGCCAGCCATCCCTTGGTGGTCCCAGCCGGAGGCTCAAAGTTCCCCTCCCTCTAGTTCCTGCTGGTATCAGATGACAAGGGGGGGGAACAAGCCAGCTGCCCTCAGCTTGCTCCATCTGAAGCAGCGCGCTCCCTCCTACAGAGGCGACGGGAGGGGGGGCGGCTCTCGGGCTGAATAACCAGCCAGTATTTTAGGTACTTTCCAAGCGAGGCGCTGGCTGCAAAGGGCTTCAGCCAGGGACTTTCCAAACTGGAAGCCCTTGACGCCTTAAGCATGTCATTCATCCCCGGAGGCAGACAGCCTGGCTCAACCCACCACGCAAGCGAGGGCGCTGGAAAGTGTGTGTGTGTGTGTGTGTGTGTGTATATATGCGCGTATACAGAGACAGAGAGAGAGAGAGAGAGAGAGAGAGAGAGACCTGTCTTCCTGGCTCCTTCCTGCTTCGCTCTTTTACTTCCAACCCACTGGGTTCTCAAACAGAGGACCCTCTTTTCTCCCGCATCTCAACGGGTGGCCCTGCCTCCTTCCCTGATTTCCTCTCGGACTGTTGCACCCAGACAGGCCCCCCTTCTCCCTCCCTTTCAGTGGGGAGATTCACTGGAGGGGGGGGAACGGGACTTGGGGCTACCGAGCCCTATACGTTACCAATCGGGACAGGGAGAAGGACAGCTCAGAGTGACACAGATAACTGGAGGGTCTGCTCATCCAATCTGAGCGATACCACCATGGACTGAGTACCAATAGGGACAGGGAGAAGGACAGCTCGGAGTGACACAGATAACTGGAAGGTCTGCTCATCCAATCTGACCCATACCACCATGGACTGGGACCAGCGACCACTGGTCAAACTCTTTTAAGAAGCCCTGCAATGCACAGCACATCCTTTCGGCACAGGAAGCTCCCAGCTGGAACCCTCGGCCCATTTCCCATCTTCCCCAGGGGGAAAGGTCCCTGTCCGCAACTCAGCTGGACAGACCCACGTTCTCTCTCTTCAGGCAGCCTCTGGAGCTCCTAAATCACCAGACCCACAAGGGCCTGCCGGGATCTGAACCCGGGACCTTCTAGGCACAAAGGACTGAGGAAGTCAAGTCGTCCCTGCTTCAGTTCCGCCCCCACCCCCTGACTTTGTTCAGGGGTCCAGTTCTTTCTAGGCAGACCCTGAAGGGGAGACCCAAAGACAAAGTTGTGCAATGCTTTGATTAAAAACATAGAGGTCCAGTTCTTTCTAGGCAGACCCTGAAGGGGAGCCCCTAAGACAAAGTGGTGCAATGCTTTGATTTTTAAAAAAAAACCACACAAATTTATCCCAAGGAGACATTAGCTTTTGACGCCACAGGAGTCTTCATCTGGAGGGGCATTAGAGAAACGGGAAGGCTGCTCAGGCAGCCCAGAAGTTCCAAAATCCACGGCCAGATGTGGTTCTTTCTAGGCAGACCCTGAAGGGGAGCCCCTAAGACAAAGTGGTGCAATGCTTTGATTTTTAAAAAAAAACCACACAAATTTATCCCAAGGAGACATTAGCTTTTGACGCCACAGGAGTCTTCATCTGGAGGGGCATTAGAGAAACGGGAAGGCTGCTCAGGCAGCCCAGAAGTTCCAAAATCCACGGCCAGATGTGCCGGAGAGGTCTCCTGGTTTCAAGCAAGTTCCAGAAAGAAGGCTAAAGATACAGCTCAAGAAGTGGAAGCTCTGAGATTTCACCTCTGGGAGCGTGGATGATAAGTGTCCCTCCCAAACTCGGTAAGGCCGAGGGCTCTACCGGATAAATTCACGCGCACACAGCCTAGCCTGGCTTCTGTTGAGCCACACCGTTCCTTTTTGGTTGTGAATAGACAGCAAAATGCTAAGGACTGGCGCAAGACGGAGGGAAGGGTCTTAACATACAGAATCAAGAGTTCCCTCCGGCGCTTTTAGTTTCGTTAAATTAAATCCTTCGGCCAAATGACAACCTCAGTCACCAAAATGACCATTTGGCCTTTCAGCTAAAGCCAAAGTTAAGCCCTGACCACCAAAGTGGAAATCCAGCAGTGTGGGAAAACAAAGCCGAGGAGCACAGCCTGCAACCCATAAGACTCCCTATGATTTTTTCCCCTTCCAGAAACCCCCCGATTCCATAAGAAATCACGAGTCTTCACACACACCCAACGTGTTCAACGAATATGTCCGGAGGAAAAAACGTCACACGCACAAACCAAAGGCTGAAACACAGTCATAGTGCTCCTCTGCAATAAGTTCTTTCTTAGGAGCACAGTTTTCTGCCTGTAAAGGGAATTCTCTCACAAACAGCAAATATGTCGGGGTCAAGGCCACAGCCAGGACCAGTAACCCTGCTCTTATGACATGCATGCTTGTCATGTTTATAATCCCCTTAGGATGAGGACAAGATGCAGAATTAAGTGACTGCTCTTTGCTGTGGAAATGAGGAAGGGGAATTCCAGACCAAGCTAACCCAAATTCCAACACCAAGAGGAGATAGACCGTACAACCAGCATAAATTGTGCAAGCCAAAACACAAGGCACGGATGTAGCTTCCCCGTTCTCAGGAGGGCGAGCACCTACGCAGGACACTGAGGGGGAAGTCCCACCACAGCTGACACTTGACAATTCCTTGGGCTCCTGAAATTTCACCGGGAGCTTATCAATGTTATGTTCAGCAGACCCCATATCAAGACGGGCCAGAAATGGGCTTGGAAGCGAGGTCAAGACGGTGTTGGCAGGGACTAGAAACTTGCCCAGCCTTTGATATTTTGAAGATCACCCCGGCAGACCCACAGCCCCCAGGGAAACACAGCTGGCCTTTGGAACAAGAAGCGGGATTTTGCCAGCAGACACACAATAAAAGAATGCCCCCAAACTTTGGACATTCCAGGCGAACGAGTACAAAGAAAAACAGGGAAGCACAAACGAAGCCTTTGTCTTTACCTCATATTCTTTTATCGTCCCCTTCCAAGCGCAGCCCTCGTTAATGCAAACGGCCGGGAGACTCTCCACTTCCCGCCGTGCGGCGTTATCTGGGAAAGCCTCAAAGAAGGAACGAAGGAAATATTAGAGAGAGGAGCGTAAAGTAATATTGACACACTAAATCGTTCATCAGGAGCCACTTGGCTAGGCAGAAGGCGACAGACACCGACCTCTTGGGGGGCGGGGAGAAAGCCCTGCAGGGTTGCTCTGAGGATAGTTTGGGGGCGGCGGGGTGGGAGATACTACGGACAAATCCTGGCCTGCATAGTAAAATGGCAAGAACAACAGCGTGTTCATGGGAATGCTTTGAGCCTCTCATTTTGCTCTTATCTTGGGGAAATCGCTGCTTTTGGGGGACTACAAGTCCCAGCCTCCTCCTGCCAGTACCTGAGCATGTTAGGACTTATACAGACAAAAACGGAACTGCCCTGTCATCTGGCCTTCTGCCTCTACGTTCCCTTCCTCAGGATTGGCCCTTGCTTACCGAGCCCGTTTCCAAGATCGAAACGCCTTCTTCGTAGATGCCTTCTTGAATGCAGGCGCCGCACTTCTGAGGCCCAGAGCTGTCGAGGGGGAAAAGAAAGAAAGAAAAGAGAGTGGCGAAGGGTGAACTACGAGAAACCTGAAGAAACCAATTTGGAGGGTGGCCTCGGCCGTTACGACCCGCACGGCTGCTCTCAAATTTTTTAATCCCCATGTTTCTGCCCCTGAGGGATGATAGGTATTGTAGTCAGGAAAGGAGGGCAACTCCAAGCTCTGGAGGTTCCAAAACGTATTCTACTTCTTGCATCCAGCGCGAAAGATAAAGGGACTCCTCAACAGACTTTGAGAGCGGTCATTTTGTGCTATCTTAGATAGAGCAAAGAAAGGATATACAGTGGTGCCTCGCTTGACGATGTTAATTTGTTCCAGCGAAATCGATGTAGAGCAAAAACGTCGTCAAACGAAATAAAAAACCCATTGAAATGCATTAAGAACCGGTTAATGCGTTCCAATGGGCAAAATACCTAATCGTCCAGTGAAGATCCTCCATACGGCGGCCATTTTCGGGTGCCTGTCTTGTGAAAAATGCCTCCTAAAAACAGCGGGGAGCCATTTTGGGCAGCCGGCGGCCATTTTGAAAACCCGACAATCAGCTGTCTTGATCCTTGTAATGCGAATAATCAGTTCCCGAAGCAGGGAACCGATCGTTGCAAAGCGGAAAAAAACCATTAAAACATCATTTCGCGATTGCAACCAGGTTGGTTCACATCCAGAGAGCCGGGGGGAGTCACGTTTGCTGAGGCCATGTGAACCCCAACATCCGCAGCGGCTTCGCAACCCTAGAAGAAAAGAGTCACACGTCAGCGTCCACACCTGAGCTTCGCTCGTTCCTCGCTGTCTTTTCTTTTGCGTGGGCTTTGCGCGCCGCTAACAAAAAGCGCGTCCTGTGCCATACATCCAGCCTCCATCTAGCGGCATATTTTGGCAACGAAACCCAAGGTGTACATGCCTGTCCTGTGCTGCTTCAGTCCTCCCTGCAGCTGTTCCAAAATGCCAACAGCTTAGAGGCTTGTCCTTTGCATGGACACGTCCACTTAAAACTTGCATTAAAATATAATGGTTCATTTTTAAGGTGCCACATATTTTTGTCTTTTTGCTTTGCTTCTTTGGGGTTTGCCTGATAAGCGAATATTTGACACCAGTGGTCTGCTGGCGATGGCCAAAAGGTGAGCTAGTGAATGTATGAAAGGAAATAAAGTTTGAAGACCTTCTACGGGAGCTCCTTACCTCTCTAGCCAATATTCTTTAAAACAATGCAAATTCAAGCAGACCAACGGGAAGCTGAGCTTCGGAGCTGAGCCAGGTTAAAGCCCGGGTTATGTTCCTCTCCTGGCTAGGAATTCAACACCTCTTGCAGGAAGAAATATGATGTAGTCCAGGCCATAGGCTCTCTTCTCTCCCTGGTGTAATTCATGCTGCAGGGCAAGCCAACATGTATTTTTTTTTCTGTACTAGCCTCCCCACGCATTTGATGCAGGAGGTCCTTGCCACCTATTCAAAGGTCATTTCTGACTCCTTGTGGCTGACAGGAGAAGCAAGATAATGGAAGGAAACTGGATTTTTGGCAGGACCTGTTAGGGGAGAATTCTGTGTAACTCTGACGTTTACACACTAATTATCCCATTAAAACTTTGCCCAGTTACTCCAATGCAGAGGAAAGAAACAGGATCAATTTACATTGCAACATAGCAATGCAATGCTCAGGGGGAAAGTTCTCAGAGCCTAGCTGTGCTTGAAAGAGAAACTCAAGTTTTTCCTGATTATTTTTTAAATATTCAAAATACATTGGATATTGCTAGCTAGATTATGAAATGCCATTTCTAGTCCGTGCTCTACTTGAACAACAATCTTGTGCAATGATGATCCATGATAATTTCCATGCCAATGATTTCTCCACTTTTGACTGGGATACAACATAGGCTTGAATCATGATGGAACTGCTTCGAAACTGGCTGGATATACAAACAGTATGATACCCTTTACTGTATCACAGTATGTCATAGCAGCAATTTAAGAATCAGCATTCTGGGTTTACGCTAAGGCCTTGGTTCAAGACACTGTGTGCAGCAGATGCCGGCAAACATCTGCCTCAACACACACCACCAACTGTTAAAAACAAAGGTATACAAAATTCTACATCACAAAGTTACTTGCACACTGCATAAAAAGAGGATAGCCAGACCAATGAACGAGAATTATGAAAGTACTTGAAGGGTTTTCCTCCAAAATCATTTTCAAGACCACTTCTGGCAGTTGCACCTGCAGTCCCTAGGCTTTGCTGGATCACACCCACCCTCCGCAGCAAAGAGAGAAAAGCCCAAATTTCCCCTTGAAGGCACACTTGCTGCTAACCTAGTTTCGTGACATACAGGTACCAAACCAGCTCTAATTAGCAAGAACTACCAATCAAAGCAATTAAGGTTCCCAACAAATCGTGACTAACTTGTTCCCTTTAGTTTCAATGGAAGTGACACATGGGGCAAGCGTCTGGAACAAAGGAACTTTTTTAAAAAAAAAAACCCTGTGCTGTGAGATTTATATAGTGCAATCGATTTCCTGTTTGCCACGACCTTCCACTCCGAATCTGTAAACCCCCCTGCAAAATAATAATAATAAAAGCCAGTAGCAATCACTAATTATCTGAGATCTGCCTTGCTCTCCTCCCCTGCCATTTTTATCCCTATTTATCCAAGGTCTAAAATGCACCTAACCTTATAAATATATGCATCCCCGATTTTGCACGGATCCCACAAGCCAGCAGGGGCGAAAGCTGGAAAAGTTCCTTTGGAACTCACACACACTCCCCCAAAGGGGTGTGTGTGTGGATTCTGGGCACTGTAGTCCCTTCTCCAAAGGCAATGATCTGAGCAGCACATGAAAAGAATGGATGAAAGCCCCCAAATCCGGGGAAACCCCCCCTTCACCTCAACCCACCCTCATGTATTTCGGACCCAGTTTTTTTTTGGGGGGGGTTCCGTGGGAGGGAAAGTTTACCCCCTCCCCCGCCGACCTTGGGGAGAGAGGACTTCCCCTTTGAGCCTAAAACGAAGCCCATCCTTCGGGGCTTCTGCTGCCCGAGGGGGGGCTCCTCTCTGGGACCCCCCCTTTCCCCAGTTGCCAGACTGGGAGGGAATTTGGGGTCCCCTCCCCCCCCCCTTCTGCCCCCCCAAAGTGGGGGGGCT